CTTACTTAGGAGGATGGCATCACAACGCTTCATTCCTACATTGGATGGGAGATCGATTTTCACTTTCGCGATAACAACAAACGATCTTGAAAGTGACGATATGGGACAAATATTTCTCCCAAAAGACAATCTCCTTGTATGGAGGATCATGCGTCACATGGTCCAAGTGGAACTTTCATCTTCATCGGGCGATCGACTGGTCAAGGCTCGCTGTCTGCTTAGCACAAAGCACACTGCAGCAACACGATGTCGATCACCGCACCGACGTTTGCGTGATGGTCGAATGATTGACAGGATCGAGTTCACAGAGATTAATCGACCAGCACACCAAACGTACGCCGAGGACGATAGATGACCAAATTACTCCGCGTCATTTTTGCCTTATTTTGAAAAGAGTTTGGTCAAGTGATTGATCTACCCCGAATGGTCGCACTTTAAAGTCTAGATACGATCACTCACCAACCAGCTTCTTCGACGAACGATTGACCTTGAGCATTGTTATCAGAAGATTCACTCATTTCTTCGCCTTGTTTATACAAAAGAACAGTCAAGTGAACCATCGCACACCACGATCGATCGATCTCGCTAAGCTCCAACTTTGCTTAGTCCAAAGGATCACAAACTTAAGGTCTCAACGTGATCACCACCAACAAGAGTTAGCAATGAACGATCGACCATCACTATCGGAAGACTCATTTGTCAACTTGGGTTTTGTTTGGACAAGAGAATGATCTAGCGATCGATCGCCCTCGTCAAACATCATAATCGATCACTTGACCCTTCATGGTCTAGAAGGAAGCACTTTAACATCAGGACGATCGAACTCGTTGGACACCAGTTTTCCCAAGTTCAAGTTTCTAACAATCAATCAATCAACTTCATCAAGCATCAAGTGAATCCGTCAACTTTGTTAGCATCGGTTTTTCCAAGTCCGAGTTTCTAACAAGCAATTGATCGCCTTCATCAAGCATCAAGCGAATGGATCGATCCCCCGCTCATGTGCCTTTCGACTCGGAGTTGGGACTTCTTTTTTTTCAACATAAATCTCTTCGGTCTGACTATTGGGCACTAGGCTCGAAAGTTCGACCAATACATTCTCTTGAGCAACGCTCGTCGATCGGCAAGAAATGTGTGAACTTGTTCAGTATTCGGGTTACGTTGGCAGCCATTCCATAGGCCAACCCGATGGCTCCTCCTAGGCAGGAGTTCATAGTCAACTCGCCTAGTGAAAATAAAACTCGCCTTTTACAAGGCATGAGTTGCTGGCGAACCAACGGCTCCTCCTAGGCACGAGTTCACAATCAACTCGCCTAGCAAAAATAAAACTCAATTTTACAAGGCATGAATTGCTGGCCAACCGACGGCTCCTCCTAGGCACGAGTTCACAGTCAACTCGCCTTGAGAAAATAAAAATCACATTTACAAGGCATGAGTTGCTAGCTAACTGACGGCTCCTTATAGGCACAAGTTCACAGTCAACTCGCCTAACGAAAATAAAACTCACCTTTTACAAGGCATGAGTTATTGGCCAACTGACGGCTCCTTCTAGGCACGAGTTCACAGTCAACTCCCCTAGAAAAAATTCACAGAGATCAATTTCATCTCTCTCTCTCTCCGAACGAACGACTCCATCGTCACTTTTGTTCAAGTAAATGGCTCCAACGAGTTTCCACCAAAGGGCCGACCGATCGACTTGATTGCCAGCAATGCATCCATCATTTCGATCGATCACCCCTTCCAGAATATCAACACCACTTTCGAGCGAACGAGTCCATCGTCACTTTCGTTCAAGTAAATGGCTCCAACGAGTTTCCAGCAAAAGGCCAACCGATCGACTTGATTGCCAGCAACGCATCCATCATTTCGATCGATCTCCCCTTCGAGAATATCCACACCACTTTCGCGATCCGGTTAAGTAAGTGGCTCTGCATCATCTCAATTCAACGACAACGGGTCGAAAGTATAGCCCGTCGGCCATCCTGTAAAAGCACACATACAGCCAAACGCCGACGAGTTTCCAACGAAGGGCTGGCCGATCGATTAATTGCCAGCGACGCACCCACCATCTCGATCACTCGCCTTTTCGAGAGTCTCCGCATCACTTTCGCGATCCGGTTAATTAAGTGGCTCCAAGTCATCTCTACTCAACGACAACGGGTAAAACGTATAGCCCGTCGGCCAGCCAGTCGAGAAGGTTGGCCGATCGATTGATTGCCACCGACGCATCCACCATCTCGATCGGTCGCCCTTTCGAGAATCTCCGCATCATTTTCGCAATCCAACTAAAGTATCGGACCGTCAATTGCAACTTGCCTAATACTCAAAACAGGCAACCTGGTGCGTTGAACAACACTTTTCGTCAGCCGGGTCGCCGCTTCGGGTCAATTGTCTAAATTGGTCAGCCCCTCCAAAAAGATGGACGTTCGATTGGAATCGAGCAACCGCCCCGAGAAGTGTCAATCGTCGGCCGAGACCAATTTGCTCAAACGACAGATCGGTGCAACATACGAGTAGTATGGATCAGAGGCAAATTATCGCGATACAAATTGTTAGCAAAGATGGCGAAGAGAACATATTTACGACTACAACACTACCTCACAACAAAAATGGAAAAAATGAAAAGTGCAATAAGAAAGAAACTCAGAGAGCGAAGGGACGCCGCTGTCGCTGTACTAAGTACCGTTCCATTCGACCCATACTGATCAAAGCTGCCAGACGATTCGCCATGAAGAGGAGAAAGGGCGACATCACGCTATGCAAGCTCTTCAACTTTCACCTCATCGACCTCTCCCTTGAACCTTACTTCATTGGCGGTAAAAAGATCCCTGAGTTTTTTCTCAGACATATTCCCCAATTCGCTATGATATCCATCGATTGCGATGTCTCAGAAGCTTGGCTGTGAAGAAAAAGCTTATCGCGATCGAACATATACTTCCATAATTTTTGGAAACACCTACCTGCCGAAGCTTCGAGTTGGGTCTTTGCGGATGTAACCTCGCAGCAACGAGACTGCCTCAAATGCTCCATTTCCGCTTTCGCCTTGGTGGCGTCATCAAGTTTCTCCCGTTCCAGTTGGACGATCTTGGCTCGAGCGGACTCCAGATCATCTTCAAAACTGTCGGCTCTCTCCTTAGCGTGTTTACGCTCGCGGGAAACGCTGTTACACTCAGCAGCTATCTCCTTCACCTTATCGGCGGCGTTTTCTTTACCTTTTCGAGCTCGGCATCTTTCGCCGCAATCAATACCTCGGCCTTGATAAGGTCTGAAACCATTCTTCGCAGCGATAACTCATACTCTAGCAGGAGATGATTCTTCCAAGCATAGGCCTGCAAGACAAATGATCGCCATTCATTACACAAACAAAGTTCGCATCAACAAAAGACGTACAATACAAGTAACAATGGTCTGGTACTTACCACCATATCAGCGTGGGCCTATTCCCTGAACTTATCAAAAAAAAAAAAAAATAATCGACTTCAGGCATCATACGGGTGCCGCCTCTAATCCGGTGGGATAGCGCGGCACAAGCATCCTGTTCATTAACAAATGGAGCGTCCTTACCATAAAGAAAGTTCCAATGGTCCGACAAAGCTATCAAAGCTTTCTTCGATGGAGGGGCCGATCCGCCCCAAGGCAGACAAAATGTTGACGGAATCGTCCTCTGAGGAGAGGGCAACGGGCGATTGACCGATTCTCTTTGCTTCTTCCAACTAAGGTCGCGCGAAACCTCATCGGTCGACCTCTTTCTCTTTGACCCCGAAGAATTGGCAGGACATGCTGAATCATCAATCCGAGTGATTGTTTGACCCCGTCTCACCCTGACCAAACGATTGACGACCGATGGGTTCAATTGGTGACAGCCGTTGACCTCCTGATCGCCATGTCGTCTGCCCTGTCTTTAGCCAATATATCTTCATCCCGAGTCTCTGCCCTGTCGTCTGGCAGGATCCCGGTCCCAACTCCGACCTCATCTGAACACCGCCGCTGAGCTGAAATTCTCCATCTGTGCGAGGAGAATGTCGCTATACTTCGGATATACTCTGGCAGTTTTCTCAATAAGTGAAAGCTTCAATCTTTTTCCTTTAGTATCTTTGCAAGGGATGTCCGACGCCTAGTCAACTGGCACAACATCTTACCTCCCACAATGGGCTCACACCCCAGTAAAGATGGCGAACGATCGACGAGAATCTTGCTGGCGATGAGCTCGTCCACGCTGGATCAACCCGATTCATTTATTTTCCAAACCAGTTCATTACTAATCCGCCGAGAGAATGACATCACTCAGCGAACTAAGGGGGGACTTATTGTAGTGGAGGAATTTCATTCCCCCCCAAGGCCCGTCAAATAAAGGAATATGCCCAAAATCAATCGCCTAGCCCGAATTGGTCGATCGATTGACATAACATAATTGAGTCTCGATTACCCCAGGCCCAATCGATTGACCATAGCTTCTGAGTAGGCCCAAGAATAAAAACCCAATTATCGCGTAAATGAGCTTGAAAACTCTAGGGCGAACATAGGAGAAACGAGGGACACTATAAAAGGACGATTAATGGAAAGAGAAGAGGGATCCGCAAATTACTACAAGAACTCTGACGGCAAGGTTTAGGGTTTTACGATCAATCGAACCTCCTTGTAATCCGGTCGGACTTTATAAAGCTCCGACCTTTGTTCTCTTCTTGAATCTTTCTGTAATCTCCTCTTGATATCAACTCTGATTAATAAAACGCCTTCGAAGAACCCACAAATCGAGTTTAGTCTTCTAGTCAATCGACCGTACAAAACTCAGATTCAACAGCATCTAGGCGGCACCGGAGGCTGATGATGATCGTAACAACCGCTGGATTGCTAACCAATCAACGGATTCCGCCTCAGATTCCCGGATCTGATTCAATTTCATCTTACGCCATAATCAAAAATATAATTTTCGATGAATCATTTACTTAAAGGCTTCTCCTTTTGCTTGCAGTGTTATCAAGGTTAAAGACAAGGGACCAGGAATGGTCGTGCTCCAGATGGGCTCTGGACCAATTGGTCATGCACGAGTATCGTCTTGTGGATTATGAAACTGAAATCTTATGGATTATGAAACTGTCATAAGAATCCTAAGTTCTTATGTTAACTCAAATCTTTGTTTGGGTGCAGTAAGATGCATATGTGTTGTGCAGAGTGTTCCACAAGAATAACATTGGGCCACCATGTGGTAACAGATATGCACTGTTCGTGGAAGAGGAGTGGGTTGATGATGGTGTAGCTCTGATTCCAGGTGTAGACGTTAGTCTCAGGGCAGAGCCACTGCCATTAGCTAATGGAAACAATCTGATTAGCCAGGTTTGTACTTCTTTCATAACCCATAAACTGTTCAGTTTCATTGCTTAGTATTTCAAATATGCAAAAGATCTATGATGAAGTGAATCACCTTCTCTTAGTTCACAAGATATCATGTTTCTTATATGCTAAAGCTGTATGATGAAGTGAAGCTTCTCTTAGTCATGTTTCAGTAAGCTGAGTATAGGAAATGCAGTCAGCAAACAAGGGGTTGCATTGCTTGAGTTCTCTCTCATGGGTACACAACCTTAATCTCATCAACAACCGCTGCTGCTGCCACCAACACAGCCATCTCTGCATTGCTTGAGTTCTCTCTCATGGGTATCTCTGACAATAAAGAAAACACAAAACCTTCTCCTGCTACTCCACTTCCATCTTCTGATGAGAAACTGAATGATCTCCAGAAAGAGATTCACCAGATGTCTGTTGAGAGAGAGACTTTCAAGCTTGAGATGATGAGTGCAGAGGCTATGATCAGTATTCTCCAGTCTAGGATCGATGCATTGTTTTTTCCTGATGGTTCTACATCTTTTGAGGAGATACAAAGGGTTGCTCCATTGTCATATATTATCGTCTAAGTCTATTCAATTAAAAACTCTCTTTGATCTGTATCAAGGTATGTTCAATCTCCATGATAAAGTGCTTGTTCTTCCAAACCAGTATGCATGATTTTGGACTGTGTGTCTTTTGCTTTCATGTAACAATACCAACAATAATCATAGCTCATGAGTTTTAAACTTAAGAACCAACAAAATGTCCTACCAATAATCACCATTTTTATTAAAGTATCTTAACAATGTCCCTATCTTACTTATACTAATAAAAAACTCTAAGGAACTCTCTAAAAAGTCCTATTGATAATCTTGCTCTTAAGAGATTGTTTTTATGAAACCAGTTTATATAGGAGAACAAAATTATTTATCAAGCAACGAGAAAAAATTGCTATCAAGACTATTATTGTTATGAAAAAAGAAGAAGCTAAAAGCCATAACTAGAATCCAAAAAAAAAAAAAAAAAAAAAAAAAAAAAAAGACAAAACAATTCATTATCGCCAATAAATAAACCTAAAACATATTAAGAAAATGTTATTGCCTGTCACCGCTGCTCGTCGTAACATTATTATTACTGCTGTTACTGCTCCCATTCTGGTGATTATGCGGACCGTTGATAATAGACGTGATGGCTGCGGCTAGAGCCGCTGCAAAGTTCGGATTGGCTGCCATAGCAGCAGTAGCGGCGTTAACGCTCTCGCCAGCGTTCAGAGACTGAGATGGTATCTGCAAACCGGAGAACTTGGACTGTTGTTGGTTATAATACAAAGCCTGGCCCATCATCTGAGGCAAGCCCGATTGGTTTAACTCCGCGAAACCGGACCTTTGAGAGAATTGCATCAAGGGGTTATTATTAGTTGGACTGTTAACGTGGGATGCTGATTCTGTGAGGTCTAGTGTGATGGTTGGGAATGGTGCAGAGGCTGAGATCGTGGCCATGCTTGAGGAACAAGGCAACATGGTTCGAGCGAAGAGGTTTGTTGGGTTCATTGAGCCGTCTTGGCTTGACATTGTGGAGCCTGAGAGGAGCATGCTTGCGGCTGCGGTTGTGGTTGAAGCCATGTACATAGCTGCCGGAGGTAATGGATGGTTGTGGTTCCCTTCGTATGTTGTTATGAGAATGGATCTGTCTTCTGCGCAACGTTGCACCTGTTGGTCATTAATGAGTTTAAATATACGTCAGACAACATATTTGAGCATTTGAATGAACACCAAAACATATGTTTGAAATATATATATATATATGTGTGTGTGTGTGTGTGTGATTCAATAGGGATGGGATGTTGCCATGAGAATCATGAGATCATTAAAATTGGCCCTCTCATACTTGTCGTAAACATAAAAATGAATCGATGGAAAATAAATGGATAGAATAAGGAAGAAATTAAATATAAGAAAAAATAAAATAAATTTATTTCATTCATTTCTCATCAAAATTTGAGGTCAAATATTTTTATCTAGATCTTGTTTATTTATTTGTGAAATTAATAGAACGGACATCTTATATATTAAAAGAGAAGTCATGACTTCACTTCATGTGTGATATTTTAAAATGGACCATCTAATAGAATTTATGACATTACATTATTCAATCATTAATATCATTCATTAGATTCACTAATAACATTATTGGGCTTACTAGAAATTTTTATTGGGTTAATAAAAATTAGATGATCCATTGGATTTATAAATATTATAATAAAATACATGTTTAAATTTAAACGTATATAATTTAATATTGTAATAGTATAAATTAATTATTTATATATTTTTGATGTTAACTTTAAAAATTATATATTTTATTATTAAAAATAACAAAATTATCATTTTCTAACAATAATTAATCTATACTATATAATAGTTAATCATCATTTTCGATATACACACCTTAGATAATATATACCAATTTAGAAGTAAAAAAAATGTTTATATAAAAACAAATGAAAAAAAATACTCGTGCGGTTGCGCGGGTTGAGATCTAAATTCAGTTTAAAGTACAGATAACTTTGTGTACAATTAATAGATTAAGCCATTTCACATTTTTTCTATATCCTTTTATAAATTGATAATCCAGTTTCAGCTTGGATCTCTAAAAGTGTACGATATTTTTTACAGCAAGAGACCTCGAGGGGATATTTGACCAATCACCAAAATATGTGCAGCAAAGAATATTATTCACTGAAGACATCTATATAGGTTAAATTAATCATGGCTTTTCAAAGTTTCAGTCTAACGGTTTATATTTTCTAGGTTTTTTTATGAATAGGGATCGCAAACAGAATTCCCGTTAATCGAGAAAGTAATTGTTAAATAACGTACTTGCTTGCGAACGGGACATCCAACGGCCATTGTGCAGCGGTAATAAGCTCGAGGGCACGGATTTCCTTTTGCCATTTTCTGTCCGTATTTTCTCCACTGACATCCATCGCTTAACTGTATAACATTATCATTGACAATATTAACCTCAAAAACATTTGATAGGCCAGTCTTTAAAAAAGCTAGAGAGAGTAAGCCTATTATTACCATGGGAGCTTCGGACCGAGCACGGACCGAGACGCGGGCTTTACGCATGGTGGCTTCAGCGGCCGATTGATCGATAGCATTTCCATTGCCATTGCTGGAGGAGGCGTTGTGTTTGGAAACTTTGCTAGGGTTTCCCCAGCCGTTAGATTCGTTCTCTGGGCTTTCTTCTATCTCAAGTACTCTTTTTGCGCGCTGACTTGAGCTAGAGTCCTCTAGAAGCGTTGGCGGAGATCTTGACCGAACCGTTGTCCTCTCATGGGATGATATTTCAGCAGATGGTACTCCCAAATCGATGAACTGTCTTGGAACCATTTCAGGAGCTTCATGTCGGTTAGTGGGTTTGTCTTTGCTAGCCTGATGAAAACAAGAGTTCAAAACCTTAACTAATTAAAACTGGGAGGAGCTTGGTATTGTTATGAAAATGGTTAGATCAAAGATTAAGATGGACATTATAGAGCATTAGTTACCAAGTGATGATGATCTTCTTGTTGTCTCATGACAGCAACAAGTTGCATCTGCAAGGAGTTGAAGTTGTTGGTTGTTTGACTTAACATCTCCTTTAGTCTTTGATTCTCTTCATTCGACTTATTTAGCTCTTCTCGAAGTTGTGCATTCTTCATTTGTTGATCATGGCCATAATAATAGTTTAGACCAATTAAATATTTTATATTGATTTTCCTCAAAAAATTATATTGAAAAGGGTAAATACAGTGAACAATATATAACAATGTCTATTATATACAAATTAAATACGAAAATTAGATGGCCAGTTAAAATTAAAAAAAATATAATTTAATTTTTAAAATCTTTCGTTTTCATTAATTTTGACAATCTATTTTCAGTTCTTGTTCGTATTGGCTCAGTGTGTAGAAATTCTGGTGCTCAAAATTAAGTTCCCGTAACTAAACTTGATTGATTATTTTATCCAGTAAGTAATGGAATAAAATAAAATAAAACCAGTTAATTATCATTCTAATTTTCTCTTCTTTTAACCTAAGAAAACGAGCTACTACTTTGATAAGTGTACCTCAATCTTTGCACGTTTCTCCTCCATATCAACAGACAATCCATCATCCACTAATGACTCGTCGCTTCCCGTATTCGCGGTGAGAAGATTAAGTCCAGTCTATTTACAATAAATATATTAATTTCAAGGAACAAATTTTCAATCCATAACGAAAATTATCGTTTATAATTTAGATACTAAACTCTGGAAACAAAAACTTCTATGGGATTGTAAGAAAAATAAGTAGGATTAATAGAGTATTTAACTATTTACATTGATACCCATGGAGCGATCATCATCATCGTCAACACGTGAATTCTCCCTTTTCACATGAAGGTTATGAGTCTCCTCGGTGATGACATTCTGATCATCTCTCTTCTCCGACCTGAAAAAGTCAACCTCATCCATCATCGGCCGATGATGCTGCTCATCCAATGGTTGTGTCTGCTTCAAATTGTCACCTTGACCTCCAAGACTCACTGGAAAACGAAACATCTCTCTCTATATATAGTTAATTTACGTTCTTGATAGACAACTTTGGTTGTTTTTCTTTGGCTAATAGTATGATCAGTAAGCACGGATGATGATCTTGCTTGATTTGTTCTCTGAAACCCTAGTCAGTAAACAGGATGGGTAACCTGCCGGATAAGATCAAAAGGTACGTACGTATCTTAGTGTATGTGTGTGTGATTGTTCAGTATCATATCCAATCATCCATATATAGAGATGTGAAGAAGAAGATATCATAGAAGAAAGAGAAAAAGAGATACTTTGTCGAGTATATGTGGTTAGAGACGAGGATACGAGACCAAATGCTTCGGCTACAAATACGGTATTTACGGTCGACTCAGATTTATAACATTTTAATCTTTCTTTCAGAATATTATTATTTAAGTATTGGTGTGTCTATATTTGTTTTATACGTATTTAAGTATTATTAATTAGTCATATAGATTTTAATTTGGATTCTCGTAGAAAGATGTCTGTTGAGACTTAAGCTCTTTGTCAAAAAAGATATCTGTTGAGACTTGTTTGGTACATTTCCGTCAGTATGAACGTCATTTATCCCATCTAGCATTGACTTATATCAATAATTAACAAGCATATCATGCCATCCAACCATTGAGTTTAACAATAGAGACGTGTTATTGCTGCTTTTTGGGTCAAACAATTGAAAATGAGAAAAACCTAACTGTTGCTTACCAGATGCTATGGTTTATGAATGACGTTTTATTGGTTTGTTTATTGGGAATTTTTTTCAATAATAAATTCAATCAAAAATACCTTAATATTTAAGTTTAAGTTTTAATGATTATTACTTATTATTTATTATTTCAGGGTGAAATCGGGTTATAAACTTTTAAAAATAATTCTTACACATTTATAAATAATTTAGAAGTATCAGTTTAGTTTTTTTTTAACTGTAGTTTAGTTTTTTTTTTCATCACAAACTTAAAGTACATATGAAAATAATTATCATTTGAAGATTAATTTGAATACAAATTAAATTTGTGGTAAAATTAGAAGTACCTTTGTTTATATATATTATTATCACTTTTGCTTTAAAATAAATCTACAGAAAAAATAATCAAAATCAAAACAAAAAAATCTATATCCTATTTTCTAAAGCAAAGAACTTAAAGTTACAGCATTAATCAATCAACCCTACAGTTTTTTTGAAAATATATATATATATATATATATATATATATATATGTTCACTTTACTATCAATTAATATTAACTTAAAATTTCATAAGACAAAATATATTAGTTTATCATGATCAGTAGAATAACACAAATAATATGTTATTAATCCTTGTGTTTTCTTTATAATAGAAAAATCATTCTCGATACAACGTGTCAAAAATGCATATTTAATTTAGATTTTATTAGAAAATTCAATGTTATAATATTATTTTTATATCATCTTATATATATTTTAAATTGAAAAAATATTTAATCATATTATTATATTGATTTTTTTTGTTAGAACGGTTAGTTATATTTGGATTACATTAGTATATGTATTATAGATAGAGTAATCTGCTCAACTGAATGATATCATCTAAGTATATTAATTTTGTTCAAAGACTTTGTCCTAATTATTAAAACTCTGGATCATTGGTTGATCAAGTCAATATACGAGCTTTAGAGGAGAAATCTATTTTTAGGGAAGAAGTTTTTTCAATGAATTCTTATTATAGGTGAAATTTAGATTTTGCTATTTTTGACTAAACTAGTAAATTTTCTTTAAAATGATTCACTTGTCTTTTTTTTTTAGTTATAAGAAAGACTTTTGACTTGTTCATGGATTTAATAAGTCAGAAAATAGAAATGAATCTCTCACCTATAGCAATTCAATCGGCGGTTCCCACGTGATTGAAAATATTAAAAGCTTTATTTCTAATTAAAGCCTGTTAAATAAATCACATTGTTGAATTTATTTTGTTAAAAGACTCGATACAATGTATTACCTAAAATATGTATTTTATATCTCTAGTCTCTACAGTCTACAAACTTACATAGCTAATAATAGTTCAACTGTAATGAAAAAAAAAACAGTAAATTTCACATCTCTGCTTTAAATATTATAAGATCGTTTTCTAAAAACAAAACGAACAATAGTTGAAAAAAATTTTGACTGAAAAAGGTTTAAGTTCTCTAAACTTATTAAAAATACCAGTATACAAGGTTTAAGTTCTCTTTCATGCACAGTTGCATACGTATGTGTACAACTGCATGAAAGAGTAAATTCCTAGTATTTTTTTTTTACTAACAATTTCTGAATCGAAAGTAACAAGAACAACACTTCAAAATCGCTGGGTGAGTGAGATTCAGATATGAAACTGGTAAAGGTTAGTTTTTAACAGATTGTTAATGTAGAAACTGAGCTTTGACCAAATTATTCTAAAAATAATTCTAAAACTGTTGCTACAAAACTGGAAATGAAAATATGTGTGAACACAAAAATTAAATACTTCAACGCAAACAATCACTACAGATTTCACGACTTTCATCTATAGTATTAGGTTTGCGTAGAGTTTGTTTGTTCCTCCGCGCATAATCTATGTCTGTAACAAACCTGTTAATTTCATGTAAACTAAAAATAGACAATGGTTAAGCCAAGTCCACAAGATAAATGAGATAACTCACAGCTTCATGCAGTTCTGACCGGTGACCGTTTGAGATGGGAATGAGATAACTCAAGCTTCATGCGTTCTGACCGGTGACCGTGTGGGGTCTCACTAAGGTTACTATAAATAAACTGGTGTTTACCGTTAGATCCTTTTGACTGTCCATGGGACCCGGTCATCTTTTGACTTCTTATATAACTCTTGTAAAAGCAAAATATGTCCTTTTCGCCAAAATCGTTTGCTTTCACTCTTTGACTCGCTTTTGTTTTTCTTTAAACAGTGAATTGTCAGATTGATTTCCGAACTAATTCTCGAGTCATATGGAAAAACGTAATACAGTTTAACACTTCATCAATTAACCTATACTTATCTAATTATTTTTTGACAATCATGTAAGTATATAACCAGTGGCGGACCCATGAATTTATTCTGTTACAGGGGTCAACATAGTTTTTTTTAGAAAGAAAAATATAAATAGCTATTTAAACATAACTAAGAGTGGCATTTCAAGTATAACTGACAAATTTGGGGTAATTTATAATCTTATATACCAAATTTCCAATTTTAAGTAAACTTTTACTTTTCACAGAAAAAAAAACTTTTAACTTATTTAGAAATTTAGGCCTGTCATAAAAATTGCACTTCCTAACCATAGTGTACGTCCGGAAGCGGTCTGGAGTAGGCCTGGGCATAAAATCCGAAACTCGAAATCCGAACCGAACCCAAACCGAAATACCCGACCCGTTATCTGACCCGAAATGTAAAAATACCCGAACGGGTCTTATAGGATGGTATAAAAAAATCCGAATCCGAAATGTTATTTAACCGAACCCGAACGGGTAACCCGAAATATCCGAGATTAATAGTTAATATAAATATTTTAAATATATATATATATATATATATATATAAATATTTTAGATATTCAGTTTAATGTTTATTTTGATATGATACATACAATAAATATTAAAATAAAAATAAATACCTTAAATATATAATTAGTTATAAATAAGTACATTGTAATTTGTTCATTAAAATAATAAATTTAGTTTATATGTAAGGTTATCCACATTGTTTACAAGTGATGTATGTTTTAATGACTGATTTAGTATTTTTTTTATTTTTATCAATTTTATGTATGTATGATTAATTTATATTCAGTTTTAGTGTTTTTCTTTATGTTTTTGTTTCGAAATTTTGTTTTATACTTTGGTTATATTCGAACCGAACCGAAATAACCCGAATCCGAACGATATATGGTTACTTTACGGGTTTTATGCTGCAATACAAATTTGAACGGAACCCGAAATGTTATTATCTGAACCCGACCCGTATAGTAAAATATTAGAATGAGACCTATGAGCGTAAACCCGAAAACCCGAAAATCCGAAAAACCCGATCCGAACGCCAACGGGTACCCGAACGCCCAGGCCTAGTCTGGAGCATAAGTGGGCAAACAATCACTTAGAATATCATAATTTTAAATAATAGTATAGTTACATATAAAGTATGATAAAAATTTACATGAATAATAAGGACATAAAATTTTAAATGAGAATGTTGGACCGGCACCGTGTACATTTGCCACTGTATATAATATTACATAAAATATTTTTTGTTCAGTAATATTACGTCATTTATATCACATCTATGATCTATGTAGACTGGGGGAATAATTTTTATAGGTCAGAAAGAAATTAACAACTGTGACTAATATAACTGCAAATAAATAAATGGTAAAACGTAAGAATCATTAAATACCAAGATGGCTCTTAGCTGTTTATTTAAATAGTTTTCATGGTTTATGGATTTGCAAATACTAATGAAACACTAGCTTTTTGTTTTTTACTCCCATCTTCATTGGCAAACTGAAAAAGTAAGAGGGATAGAAGAGATGATTTCTTAATGGGAAAACTCTGATAGTCCTCTTTCTCGGAGAAAAACTCTGTTAGACTTTTAATAGATTCAACTGACACATGTCTCTTAGATTGTTATAATAGTTAAATTTATAATACAATTAAAAAAATTATTGTTCTAAAACTTGTATTGTGTGTTTCATTAAAAACCCCTCAACTTCAAGTGTAATTTGTTTTTATTATCAATACTATTAAAACATGAACACATTTTATCTACTTGCAAGTAATCTATCTTAGACTACTACATTGATTTATTTTCCTTTGTATTCTACTATAACTAATTTATTTATCATTTAAATGTATATTATGCTTAACCAATTATTTTAATATTTTCAAAATAAAATATATTTTAAGTATCTTTTCTTAAGATTAGATTTTAATAATATCTTTTAATATCTTTGATTTCAAATTTAAATATACATATCTTTTCAATATTTATGTTT